TGGATTTGATGGTTTTCTGTATGGATGTTTAGAAACTCTCCTTAGCAACAGCAACAGTAACAGCAGAAAATATTAGTGAGCAAATAGCCTTGACTTGTTACTAACAAGAAACTCGAAATGTCAACAATGTATACAACAAGATGTAACTTTAACAATGTAAACTCATCACTTACAGGGAGTTGTAAATTGATGTCCAAAAAATTAACTCAACTTGTAGTCAGAGCAAAATACAATTTGAGGGTATAGAGAAAAATGCATGATAACAAGGAAGTCTAATAACTTCTGAACTTTGTAGTTACACACAGTTAAATGACTGTCCTGTGGTAGTATTTATGACTGCCTCTAGTGACAAACTTAAGCTATCTTGGTCTTCGAATTGATTTGGAAATGTAATGTGAAACAAACATGTTGATGCAAAGATAGCCGGTACCCTATCAAACTTTACTTGAATTTTTCCCAGGCCAAAATCGGGAAGAGCCTTTGAACCCGTGGCAAAAGAGAGAAATTTTTCCAGTGTGTCAACCTTTGCATTCTGTATAAACATGTGCATGTAACCTGCTACTACACTTTCATTGTCATCCATATCTTTAGGGAACTGAAGCACGCCAATGACAGAATCTGCATTCAACTCTTCCTTGCTGGGGATAAAGAGAGCCTCAAGGAACTCAGGGTATTCTTTCATAGCAGCTCGAAATCCAAGTGTGTTTAAACCCTCCGCCAACTGGTCAAGAATAATCTTAGGGCGGCCAATTACATCATGTATAATGATCCCTGAATAACCCTCATCTTGCTGTCGTTCTAGAATGAATGAATACGTGAGTCAGCAAATGAGTGAGTGAATGACTGACTGTAGGAGTGTGACTGACTGACTGACTGACCAAGCAAACTACTGAACAGATGAATGACACCTTCAGTGTATTCTAGTTAAATGGTCGTTCTCACAGTAAGCAACAATGCTAGTCAATTCAAACTTACTGTTAATGCAACAGCAAGGCCACACTCAGACAACATACTTGAGCATTCTTCTTTGTCAAGACTACACACATCTTCAGCTTGTACAACCTAGTATTGATAAAAAAATAAAATCTGATGTGAGTGGTTTTCAATTAAGTTGACTGTAAACTTTGTTCTGTAAATAAACATAGTAATTTTATTGCTATTGTGTGCTGATTGTTGGCAATATCATCATTACATGTATATTTCATCTGTAATGCATATTTGCATATGTTATTAGAAGCAATAGTAAGAAGTAGGCACAAATTTGAGATAATTTTTACAAACAGAACTGTAATGCCATGGTCATGATTATGATGTTACTTGACATTGTAGTGATTGTATACTCATAGGTGAATTGAAAGATGTTCCAGTCACAATCAAAGTACTGTATTCTACTCAATTGATTACAAGCTCCCTTTCAGTCAGTAATTTTAGAATGCACTCAAATGTCCAGTTTGTACCTTGTCAATGAAATGCTTAACAGGCTCTGAACAATCTCCATAATTCATCTTGGCCATTGCTGCATCAATATTACCAGAAGCAATGTAACAGTATACTGAAGGACTCAACACTGGGAAGCCTGGGCCACCTTGTAAAATACTGTGAACAATCATGGTGCCAAAGTATCGCATTAGTCCGGAGGCTACAATATCTGCACTGTACACAGGACTCTTGTATTAGCAGCCTTGAAAGAACATCTTGCAAATGACTTGGAACAACTTTGTGTAAAATTCTCTTGTAACACCACCTGTGTCCACTGCTGGTTGGCCTTTAAACTGGATTCTTAGCTTCTTCTTAACATCAAACTCAGGACTTTTGTCATGGGCTAATGCATCGTTCAGTATGTCCTCCTCCTCAATTTTTACTTTTACTCTCTCTTCACTCATATTCTTCCCAAGCTCCTTTAACAATGACTGCAAGGAATCTATTTTCTCTTTTGAAGGGGGAAAAGAAGGCTGTAACAGGCTGTCATCATCACTGCTAAAATCATCTTCAGGTAAATTACTGGAAAGAGAAAGAGCCACAGCACCAACAGTCCCGTGTAGACTGAGGGCTCGCACCAAGTCATCTCGACTTTTGTCTGGAAACATCTCCATTAGTTGTTGCAGGGTTTCCTCCTCTGTTGTTTGTCTAGATGGACCAGGCTGTGGTTCTTCTCCATTGTCATCTATGTGTAATGGTACTTCACCTGCAATAACAAACGAAATCTTAATATGTACTAGCATTATTTTAAATAGCAGTGCAAATGCAGGTTATGTCACAACCACAATAATACATGTAAATTGCTATTAGCCAATGCACAACCCCCCCTCTCTTTTTGTGGCTCAGAGTATTCACGACCTTGAAGTCAGGCTGCTGCTGAATAAACTGAATATATCATGTAATGCTTATTTCTTTGCCTTTTCACAAAGTAATAAAAATAACTCAATAAAGGCAATTTTATTGAAGACTGAACAGCTATGCAGAGACAGTCACAAGTAAAGTAATGTTACATAATGAAAATTTGTGTGTTGCATAATTTAACATCTAACAGACAAGGTTAGTCATAGCCAAAGGTATATTTAATATACCTTTGGCTGTTTTTACTTGTTGGTTCCAGCTGAAAGATGTTCATTCTTCATTTTTCTGCAGGGAGTTGAATTTCACCCCATTTCTAGATTGATTTAAATGATCCCCCAACAAATGTGGTGGCTGTCAATGTTTTACCCCATGGTTGGGAGGGTAGGTATGCACAGTCTGCCCTGCTATTTTTTTATGGCAGTGCATAAACAACAGACTGGCAGCACAGGAAATGCATTTCCCATGATCCCTTAGGAGATGTCACCAGTATTGCGTGACTTGAATTGATGCAATGACAATGAAAAGTTCACCCGAATGAAAAGTCTACACATTATAAAAAGCTGACCAAAACTGAAAACTATACCAACCCAATGTCAAGTCTAATAAAGAAAAATCAACCCAAAAAGGAAGTCTGTGCAAACTAAAAGACAATGTGTACCCCAAAATAGGAAAAAAAATGTGAAAAAACAAATTTTATATTAAAAATTTGCATCATAATTTTGGCACCAATGGCATGCCATATGATCCTTGTAATTTACTTCCAATACAGGGAAAGCTTTATTATGACACGCCTTATGAAGTTATGATGAATACTACTCTGCTGGATCTTGTCCCCTTGCAATACACACCTTCATCCTGCTGCTGCTTCTGTGACTGAGAAGGCTGGAGCATTGGGGGAGGTTCCCAGTTACTGTCATTGTCTATAAAAAACATAATGTTACTGAGTGGGTTTTGAGTTCCTTTGATTTACAGCACTCTACTTATAATATAAGATAACAGAAAATACATCCACTAAGGGAGGAGGTCCTGGGGGTGGTACTGGCATGTATGTTTGCCACAAATAAGTATGTGCCACTGTAAAGGGTAATGGTTTTTAAGCAGTTTACTCTGGGATAGGGTATATCAATCAGAGAGTTTGGGTCTAGAATAGGGTATTATTTTCCAGGAATTGGTTGAAAGTTTTAGTCTACAATAGAGAAACTGGGAATTGACACTCAAAAATATATAAAAAAATCAAATCAGCACGTTTAACTTTACAAAACTCAGCCTACAAAACTACTATAGGATAGTAGTCTAGAATAGAGTAGCAAAATTCAGCTGAACTAGCTCTGGTATAGGCTAAGGGTCCCAGGGTCCCAGTAGCACATCCCTACCCAGAAATTCCTAAAGTATCCTCCCCTCCCCCCAGGAAGGAGGTGAACTTTGTGATGTAAGATTTGAAGAGGCTTTCTCCTCAGTTAAACATGATTGTAATTTAAAGTTTTCATAACGTCATATCACAAAGAAGAAAGTTCTTCAGCTGTTCAAGTATTCACTGAATTGTACTTTCAAGCCCTAGTTACATTTGCACATTATTTATGACATAAATAAGATACAAAGAGTATGGATCATGATACTCAGCAAGCTTAATGTACTGACCAGCACTGAATTCAAAGTCATCTTCAGGCTGCTTGGTCTCTCCTTGCTGGTGAGTCTCCTGGTGCTCCTGCATATCCGTCATGATAATAGCAGCACCACAGGTAAAACAGTTAATCATAGGAACATCACTGTCAACCTAAATAATCATTTAGAAGGGTAGGCAAATCAGCAAACATACATGTAAGCAGTAGTTAAAAATACACACATAATTGAAGCGT